ACACAAAACAATTTCCACTAGACTCGACACGAGATACATTCTGTATAGATTTCGAGTCCTTATCACGTAGGATTTCAAGGTCTCTAGTTAGGGTATCTACCTTTGCTCTAAGACTATCTTCATCTCTAAGATGGTATATACATGTGTTGGTGGGGTTACTTGCAAGTCATGACCTATTAGTACTCTCAGTAGCAGGGTCTAGTCCAAGTATGGGCCTTTTCATCTAAATCATCTAAATATCTTATAACCTCATGAGGATCATTTTGTAGGAAATCGCCATTACACATCGTCTCAACAAACTGACGCTCCCTAGGTGTTAACCCTTCATAGAAATAGCTCACGATACGCCAACTCTCATAACCATGGTGGGGCCAAAGAGTTTTAAGTTCTTTGTACCTTTCCCACGCTTGATATAAAGTTTCACTCTCCTTTTGGATAAAAGTAGAGATTTACTTTTTCAACATAGTTGTTTTGTGATGGGAAAAGTATTTGCCAAGGAATGCTTGGGTCATTTCAGCCCAAGTTCCAATCGAAAGTGGTCTCAATGAATACAACCGGCTTTTTGTCCTTTTCTTAAGAGAAAATGGGAAGAATTTAAGCCTAATTGCATCCATCGTACCATGTTGATTGTGAAAGGTAGCTACTACCTTCTTGAATTCTCTAATATGTACGTACGGGTTCTCATTTTCAAATCCATGGAAATTGGGAATAATTTAAATCATTCCAGGTTTAAAATCTACGCATGCTATATTGGGTGGAAACATAATACATGAAGGTGTAGATATGCGTGTAGGGTGCAGGTAATTATGCAAAGTTCTATACGGTGCATCATGCTCACTATCAGACATTGTGTTATGTGATGTGGTGTTCGTGTTAACAGATGCAGAATCAAAAATAGGGTTAAACAGATATTCGCACTTCGATACCTGCTCATAAAACACAATTAAAAGGAAATTATGCGAGAAAAACAAATAACAAAGAAAGATAATAAACTAACAAAAAATGAAATTGTAAAAGGGAACGAAGTCACCCTTTTGCTAGAGGATCTTTCAACTAATTGTACCATCTCTCCAACAACAACGCCAAAATTTGATTACGCCCAAAGAATAACGCGGTAGTTGTAGTGCAGTTTTGGAGTATCGTATTTACAGGGAGATGGAAGAATGTTTAAAGGAGTTTAATAACTTAGGATTCTTGTGATTTGGATGAAAAGAATTTGTTTATTAAATTAAAATGTAAATGTTACCGGATATAATGATGGAATTTAAGTCAATATGTAAAATAGTGAAGCGTCAGAATTCCCTCAACTGAATTGGATCAATTAACATCAATAATTCATGCATTTTCTACTCAATTAGAAGTTTTTATCCCAACTTTCTAATCGGAGGATTTAGCAATACAAATCAATTTAATTCCACATGTAATTCTAGAATTTAAGTTTCCTAAATCTCATTCCCACATTAATTTATTGAAATCATATTCAAAAAGCGACTATATATTTCTAACATATAGCAGTAATTAAATCACACCAATAAAGTATCTGAAATATAAACTCAAACAAATATTTTAATTGTTCAATGGAAGAAACTTGATTAAATCCATGAAAAACTTAATAAAAGTTAAGCCAAACTCAAAACTAATTCAAAGAAAGAAAATATAAACCCTTGAATTGTACATGAGTAAAAGATGTTGAAATCTCCAATGTTTATTAGTTTTTCATGAAATTCTTGAGCCAAAAGTGATGATAACATCCAATGAGATAATTCAAGATCTACTAAAGGGATTTAAGATTCAAGAGTTATTTCTATTGTTGTTCCCGAGTCTTTACTTTTAGGTGATGTTGTATGTATTTGGTTTGTGTTATTGTAATCATAGTTATAAAGATGTTAGGATAACATCCAACTCTATGTTTTGAAGTCTTTAAATTCCACATTTTAACACAAGATGTTTGTTTGGTTAGAATGATTTTTAGGAGTTTGCTTTTCAGTTGATTGGTCACTAATTAATTAGATGTACGATTTTGATTATCATTTGGAAAAATGAATAGAAATTTATCACAAATTGCAATCATTTTAAGGTCATAAAGATATTAAGAATAATTATCGACACTTTTAATGATCCAATGTTTACTGTGATTTAAAGTGTCTTCATATGTTGGCATCGGTATAGGGATAGTATCGGGTCATATTTAAGGATATATCTAAATCTACTCAGGATAGATTATTAAATAAATTATGAACATTGATCTTAAAATCAAATAAGTGCTGTCAACTAGTGGAATTGATATTGAAATGGATGAATGTTAAGCGATACCGAGTCCTAGTACCTTATGCATTAATCGGTTATCATAAATATTTAGCCTCTGTTTAGTCGGTATTAAAATAAGATTTTTAACAAATTTTGATAAAAGTAGATGAAATATGTGGTTAAAAAGCTATAGGACCCATAAATATGTGATTAAAATTAATTCTTGACTTTAATTTATATTAAAATCTAAATTTTAATTTATACAAAGCATGATCTCACTACCATTTAGTTAGTTAGAAATTTATATTAGTTTTACGTTGATAATATTATCACATCTCACTATTCAATTAGAGTTCAGTTAATTGAAAAATAGGCTAGATAATTATTTTTTGTGAAATCGATATTGGGACTCATGTCTACTTTTGTCGGAAACTAAGCTAGCTTTCATTGAATTTTTCTTTTTTCCTTTATTTCTATATATTTTTTTTTTTTTATCTGTTTTACTTGTTTTCTTAGTTGCATTGACACGGAATGGAGGAAGCAGAGAAGTAGCGAAACAAATGACAATGATTAATCCTAACACGGACGACGAACACATGATTATAGGAGATGTCTCAAGTATGAAACAAGTTGTTGATGAAGACGTGCTTATAGGAGATTTCTTTGTCAAAGAAGGATTTGGAACAATGATATATAACGTACTAGCAAATTTTGATAATGATGACTTTCCATTGGGTTTAATATGGCAATCCAATCTACCAATCTTCCCAGAAAATCTTTTGAAACGAAGTAGATGAAACAGACTTGCCCTTGGGAGTATTATAGCGATTTCCAAGCCCACGATCAGAAAATCATGATAGTTGTATTTCCACTAATAATCAAAAATAAAATAAGATGCCCCATGACACTTTCCTTGAGAAATTGCCCGAGGTTTAGGATAGAAGACTAGAATTCACCAAAGTTTGGATTATCATGGAATTCTCCGAGTTCATTGTTTCCCTAATATTGATTTTGTGATTAATGCAGATGAGGAGGTAGTAGTATACACAATGGAGTTTGAGTTGAGTAGGAATGTTATACTATTTCGAAGGGGGCAAGGTATAGATTGGAGGACAAATGAAGAGTGGGGCAGTCAATCGAATAACACAAAGAAAGAAATCAAAAGCACTACAAAGTTCCTTGAAAATATCGTTACAAAAGTAAGCTAGGACTATAAACTAGCGCTTATTAGGAATCAACCTTTTTTTCTTTACCCTTCTATTTGGCTTGCTTTTAGTCATGCATTGTACGTAGTGTGCTAGGATTGCATTTAGTACTTAAAGCACGTTTACTTATTTTAAAGTATGATTTTCTATATTTTATGGTAGTATTCCTATCATCACAATCGTGTCAAATTCCTCTCACCCCACATCCCATTCGATAAAGGATTAGCTCTAACTCTTGTATGATCATATTGGTAATTAATGCCCTTTTTCTTTTTAGATATGATTGAAATATGTTGCAAAAGAACGAAGGAAAGGAGGAGAGTTCAATCAAGATAAGAACATAAAAACTTGCATGGGAATGGCCTATACAATTGCACATGCCAAAAAAGTGCGGTTGCACAAACCACAAGATTTAAATTCCGCTTTTGTAAAATTGCACGGTGCGATCACACCCCTATAGGGCTTATGATCTCACAGCAATAGGTTTGGGCCCTTGCCGTTTTGGTCCTCCTCCTCAATTCGTTCAACTTAAGTCCCTTCTCCTTTCTCATTTTGTCCTTCATTTTTGATTCATTATAATCAGGTCTTCAACATTCTTCAATTATCTGCAATAGATCTGATGAAACTTTTGAGAGTTTGCAATTAAGTCCTAACTTTTTAAATATAGAATTTAGCTTCCTAAACTTATGAATTCACTTCCTGTTGCCCTCATAAGTCTTCTAATTGATCAACTACAATTCGCTTGATCATCAATTACTCTAAATCGAATCTAGTTTAGCTCCAAAAATGCCATTTTCATGGCAATTGCATCCAAATGCATTCAAATCAAGATTTTACCTACAATTAACATATTTACGTCTAATTAAGTGGATATTCGCTCAATTAATCATAAATAAGTGAAAAATCCTAAATAAGTGCATAATATGTAATCATCAATCATTTGGGATTTTATCAATTGAGGATCCGAAGGCAGTGGTTTGTCATAGAAGGATATAAATTTGCTTTGAACTCAAGATGCCATGTGATCAAAGCGTAATATGATTCCCTTAGACTAGTTTTAGTTTGGCTTCGAATGCAGCCAATTTATTGATATTGTAGCGTTACTTAGTGAGACACGTTGTGGTTCATATAATGGAATTCCTAGAAATGATAACTTCACTTGCTACGTTAGATATGCGTTTGCTTCATTTGGGTATATATTTTCACATTGCCATAAAATAAAAATAAAAAAGATAATAGAGCTGCCAATAAAAGGTGATTATTGTGTTGATTAAACAAGAGGACAATACTGACAAAGACTACAATCCAGTCCAGACATGAAACATATTATTTAAATGTTTCCCATTGTAATATTTAAGAAAATGATGCACGTTTCAATACAAAATCAAAATATTCGTTTTCTTGGTACTGCCTTCAAGGGTTCAAGTTTCCGCACGATAGTTCCAATCTTGTCAGTCATGTCAATAGTGTTAGGTGTAGTAGAAAAATCAAGTTCCCAATCAAATTCGTGAAGCAATGAGCCTAAAACAAAGTTCATCATGCGCTGGGCTAATGGAAGACCTGGACAAATCCTTCTGCCTGCACCAAATGGAATAAACTCAAAATTTTGTCCCTTATAGTCAACTTTTGAGTCTAAAAACCTTTCTGGCTTGAAAGACAAAGGCTCCTCCCAATATTCTTCATCTCTTCCAATGGCCCAAACGTTGACAAACACTTGTGTATTCTTGGGTACCAAATACCCCATGAAATTAGTATCCTGCATTGCCTTTCGTGGCAAGAGGAAAGGAGTTGGAGGATGTAAACGTAGTGTTTCTTTGCTTACGGCTTGCAAGTAAGGGAGTTTTTCAATATCACTTTCTTCAAATTTCTTATTGCTGGAAACCTCATTTTTGACCTTATCCATTATTTCTGGGTTGCGTAAGAGCTCCGTCAATGCCCACTCAACTGAGCTGCTAGTGGTCTCTGAACCACCGAGGAAGATTTCCTGCGTTAGAATGCCACCAGTTGCTTAACAATGCTTTTTAGTGATACTAATCAAATTTTTAATAAAAAATTGTGAAATTTTTTATTGAAAAATTGATAAAAGTTATGAGTCTTATGAAATATTTTAAAATAATTATAGGCTTCGACTTAGATTTTCATAATTTTTTAAAACTAAATCAAACAAGAGCTTTGCCAATTGTTGTATAAAAGCTGGTTGATTTAAAATCTGTAAGTGTGGTGCACCTATCAACCGTCGACTTCTTTGTTTCAAGTTTTGAACGTGGCTATCACTCATTCCACGATTAAATAGACAAACAATCCAGTCCGTTGAATTTGGCAAAAATGGAAAAGAAAAATAACAGGTATTACCAGTATGAATATCTTGATCTCCCATTCTGATAATTTGGCAGGTTCGTTCTTGCTTCCCTCAAAATCAAGCAACACGTCCAAGAAGTCTTTGCTTGATTCTCTACCTGCCTTGCGATCTTCTATACGTTCCTGCACATATGTTGAAACAATATCCAGTGCTTTTCCCATGTCACGATCCATTTTTTTCCTTAGACCTTGCAAGTCAAGCCATCTGAGCCAAGGGAATAAATCTGAAATATTGGGATAGCCACCCCATTTTGTTACTCCCATCATGGCGTTGAAGAATTCCGAGGCCTCTTTCGACTCTGGATCCACCAAATCCCGGGACAACATTAGGTTCCCCATCGTGTTAAATGACGCACAGAAAACATATAGTGCCACAGTAATTCCATTCCTTCTTCCCTCCTCAGTATTTGCTTTTTTTTCGATCCATAAGAGCATATTGTCAACGCACTTTTGCCTGACAACAACTGTTTCGTTAATTCTTTTGTTAACAAACAATTCCACAGTACAGATCCGTCTCATGAGACGCCAATATATGCCATACGGAGCCAAGGCCATTGAACCCTTGTGGAAATTAAGCGCTTTCATGGTATCAACAAGTGTGCGGTCTATGAATGAAAGATCATGGTTCTTGAAAAATTCAGCTGCTACATCTGCAGATTGTATAACCATGGTGTTAACTGAACCTAACTTTAACCACACAATGGGGCCATACTTCTGTTTGAACCCGGCTATAGTTTTATGGGCTGTGGTTCCAAGTTTGAAAGTGTGACCAAATAGTGGCCATCCAGGAGGTCCTGGAGGTAGATTTTTTTGATATGGCTTTCTAGTGTAGGATATGAAGATTAAAATTGGTAAAAAGATGGTGCTGAAATAAACCAGAAAACTCCACTCCATCTCTCCAGAACTCAAAACTCCTTATTTTCTTGCTTACCATGGTATCCCTTTTAATACTTCCACTCTCCAGAGTAAGCCTACGAATCTTTTGTGAATAATATGTGTTGACGTTGAAGTTAATTAAAGTAACAATAATATGTGATAAATGTTTATTGAAAAAAAAAAAATTAAATTAACCAACTTTTTTTTTTTTTTTATGAATTATGCATAGTAATTACTTATCATTAACAGCAGCAGCAACAGTGTTTTGGGGTTGCTTTCTTATTGAAATTATAAAATATCAGATTTCTTTCAATTTATTGATCATTTTTCATCATGCAAAATCAACGAGTTCTTGGTATTTGCGTGCAAATTGATGAGCATTGATCATCAAGTATTCACTATTGTGCAAATAATCAACGAATATTTAATTATATCTTTCGTTCGTAAGTTAAATATAATTTTCTCGTGAGTGCATCAGACTAAACTATGAATCTTTTTAATTTTCTGGCTACAAGTTTTGTTGACTTGACTAAGTTTTAATGTTGATATGAACATTGTTTATCGCTAGTCAACAACTGCTACTCTTGGTTA